CCTTTGAAACACTGCCATGGGGGTGAGCCCCAGCTCAGCTGTGTGGCGCTGCTGCTTTGAAGTATCTCTTCTTCCCTCCCCCTCCCCCCCGGCCCCCTTTGCTGCCTCTATCTAATAGAGTTGACTAGTTCTTAACATCCTTAGGTCATATAGGACCCTTTTTAGGGCTGCAGAAGGGATAAAGAAAACTGAAATTTGTTAAAATAGTTAGTGACTATAACTGGTCTGCAGAGAACTTACATCCAAGCAGCAGCCCTTGTTTCTGAGAGAAATAGAAGGGAATATGAAAGTAAAAGTAAAACATGGTTAGCTGTTTTAAGAGACAAAATACTGATTGTACTAAAGACTGTAATAATAAGCTACATTCAATATTTTACTTTTATTTTCCATGGTAGGAAATAATGTAATTCTCTGAGATACTACGTTTGTGATCATAAATGGGAAGGGAAGGGTTGCAGGGCAAGTTTAATTCTTATGCAACTGATATTGGATGGCTAGCACATTATCTTCCATGTCTTAATTGCTTAACCAACCAACCAATGATGGTGCTAATGGTTCTTGATGTCTGTGTAGAATCTGGTGTTGGTCATCTTCATTTCCAAGTGCAAACTGGTGGTTCTTGTCAGCCTCTTGTAACTATTTAGTCTTTAAGGTGCTCCTAGATTATTTGTTGTTTTTCCTGTTACAGACTCACTCAGCTATCCATCTGAAGCTTACCTACTCACTGTCTTTTTTTTTTTCCTTCGCTCTTCTCCTCCCACCCCCGTTCCCTTATTTATTCTTGGATCTGGACTTCCACCACTCCTGTCAGCTGAAGAAGTGGGTTGTGCTCACAAAAGCTCATGATAGCATCTACCTGTTTTGTTAGTCTTTTAGGTGCTAGTACACTATTTGTTTTAATTTTTTTCAAAGTTATTTTATTATTGATGATGGGTATACATTCATCTTCCTACAGGACGAGCCTGTCTAAACTGGGACTCTCTGGTCCAACCAACATCCATGGCTGGGCAGGATCACTGGTGGATGACCTGGACCAGAGAGCCAAGTGGCTGGGAGTACGGATGTAAATAGGTAACCGCTCAATGGAGTAACTGGAATTTTACATCCCTAGTCAGCGTCTGGCAGCAGGAGTGCCAGCACCAGGAAACACTGCTGGGGGATGGGAGAAAACAAAACATTTCTATGTGTCATAATACTCTTAATATTAGAGGGAGGCTGTTTACATTATGCATTTATTTTTAAGCTCAAAGTAATACTTAGTTTTCATCACAAATTTACAGATAAACCTTTGATGAACACAGGCTTTTTTATATTGGATTATAGAGGGAAAATGTACTTTGTCTAGGCTAAGCAAGCTGTTTGTTCCACTGAAGTGGGAGCTAAAAACTTACAAAAACAGTGTCGTCTTAGTGGGGCTTAGGCATACTGCCCATAGGAAAAATAGGAACATTGAGGCATAATATAGCACAAAGGTAGAAGGACACTGCAGTGTAAACCTGCAGCTGTAGGATCCCTGCCTATGGAACGGGGGTTTCCAAATCAATTCTTAATTATCCGCATGGTAGTGGAAGCCGGGACTGCAGCTGTTGGAGCCTAGGACCGTACGGTGCTCTCTCTAGTGCACAAGGTCCATCATCCAAGACTCAAGGCTGGAGTCCCAGCTGCAGGCTACACTGCACCACAGGAGGCTTGGTTGGAGCTAAGTCTTAACAGGC